CCCGCAGCGGGAGGGCAATGGCCACCGGACGCGAAAACATCGCTGGAGGGGTAAGTTTGGACGCTTATTGGAACGCATTAAACTAAGTTTAATGCGTTCCAATAGGCTTTCCTTGCCCGTACAGCGATGTTTTCGCATAGCGAAGGTTAATCCGGAACGGATTAACCTCGCTATGCGGGGCACCACTGTACTCTTGACACCCTACCCCAAAAATAAGCCTCAGTTAAGTGAAACTCCGCCCTCCACTATTGTGCAGCATCCAGAAGAAGATGACATGACTATATTTGAATATATGTAGATTGTTGTATGAAAAATAAAAAATAAAAAATCCCCTGAAAATGATCCCTAATGTGTTGTTGTTGTTTTTTTGAGCAAAAATTAATATAAGACTCTGTCTTATTTTCAGGGAAACATGGTATTTCACAATAACCCCCTTTAGATTCTAGTTGTTCTGATGTTCATCTGGTTATACCATTTGCAGGATTCTTCCTAGTGTTCATATGAAAAGTGTATAGTTACAACTTTCAGGAAATGTGATTTGATGATAATGAATGGTGGAAGGATGGAATAATGTCACAGGTTGTGAAGGAAGACTTATGAAAAACAGGTGGTTTTCCTCCTACCATCCTAACCAATGTACTGGAAAAAAGTTGGTGAATGTTACAGAAATACTCATGCAGATATTAGTGGATAAGTGTGTTCTTGAACATTAAATATATGAAAAAAGGCAAAGAAATGCTTTCCATATAAGGCACATACAGTACCTTGTTCAGTCAAGGCAAGGAATGACAGATTGGTGTAGGAGGAGTTGCCTTTAGTATAATGTAAAGTTATATATTTAAGACAGAATACTTAAGAAGTGAGTCTAGATAAACCACAGGAGTGTTTTGAGGTAAAGCAATTCAAAATGCCTTTCTTGTAGATTTTCATGGAAATAATGTGAGCCAGTGACACAAATATTGCAAATATATTGAAATGTATAATGTATAGGTGGTTCTGTTTTCTTGGTGGTAGAGAAAATGAATTTTTCCTCTCTGTATTTTCCTGTTGGTTTCCCTCCATAGCAATACTCTTTACTCATCAAAATTGTTTGGAGTAAAGATTGTTACTTGCCTAATGCTGTGGTTCTATTTAGATAGAACATAATAAAAATTACTTAGGAACTTAACTACAGTAAAAAGGTGACCAAGGATTAGATCTACAGTTCATAATTTGATTAAATGCTAATGGAATCTGCTAAAAACCAGTTTTAAATATTCCAAGC